TCTCTCTCCCTATACTTCCCTCACATTTCATCCCTCTCCACCTCTTGCTCTACAACAACTAGTGAGCCTCGCCCCTTCCCTTCACCACCCACACCTTGCCACCCCCCTCACGCTCACCCAGTCTAACGTGTGTGTTGACCTCTCTCATTCTCTCTCCCTCTCTCCTTCTCTCTCTCCCACATCCTTCATATTCTTCCTCGCTCTTTGTTCTCCTCCTCCTCCTCCTCCACTTTGATGAGACATTCTCCTCCTCCCCTGTGTGTAACTTTCTCTCTCTCATTTCTCCTAATCCACATCTCCCCCTCTGCTTATTCTCCCCAGCTGATCATTCCATCTTTCCTCAATTCCTTCCAACATGTATTTGGATTCGTCTGCCAATAGTTTTGTTTATGTAGGAATGTTGTAACCAGTCGGGTGTTGCTCGTTATACTATTTACCTTTTGCCAAACACACATACGTATTATTTTTTGTGGGGAGTGGATGGAAGGAAGGAGGGAGGGAGGGAGGGAGAGAGGTAAGGAGGGAAGGAGGGAGAGAGGGAGAGAGGGAAAGGATTGGTATATATATATTTTTTTCATGTTAATTGTTCGTGTTTTTCCCCCTCGTGATATTATGCATATGGACACTACTATCGATTCTCTTCATCCAAACTATGTTGCTGTGTAATCGACTCCCATCAAATTTGTGTTTATACTAACGCTTGTTTTGTTTACAGCTGAATGCATAATTTTGTTTTCGGGGGGAGGGTTGGGAGGGAGGGAGGGAGGGAGGGAGGGAGATAGAGATGGGACAGATAGGGAGGGGGAAGGAAGGGAGGGGTAAGGTAGGGAGGGGGAAGAAGGGCCTTTTGTTCTGCTTGTATGTAAATTTCATCACACGTTTATATCTGTATTGCTTGATGTTGATTTCTAAAATTTATACTTTTTTTTTTTGCATGATTTTTTCGCGAGTTGAAACCATTTTTAAACATGTTTTTCTATCTCTTAAAGCTGATTAAAAGAGTTAGAGATAAAAGAACAAAAAACTCCATTTATCGTCTTCAAAAAGTGACTTACAAATTACAAAGTGTTTCAAAAGTTAATGTAAACCAGGACTGACACCTCTGTAAACTGACTCTTTTTGGAACACCCTGTATTCTGTATAATAGTCCTACTTCCACACGCACTCATTTTTACACACACTATATCTTTTACACTCACAAAATTACAAGAGCCTATAAGATTCTGGTATTCTTAGTTTTCCTTTAAGTTATTCCCACCGTCCACCTTCTTCCTAACCTGTCTTATATTGCCAGGTGGTGTACGTCTCTTCATTTTCACCTTAACTAACTACCTTGCCCTAACTACACTAACTACCCTGCCTTAACTACACTAACTACCCTGCCCTAACTACACTAACTACCCTGCCTTAACTACACTAACTACCCTACCCTAACTACACTAACTACCCTACCCTAACTACACTAACTACCCTACCCTAACTACACTAACTACCCTACCCTAGCTACACTAACTACCCTGCCCTAACTACACTAACTACCCTGCCCTAGCTACTCTAAAGACCCTACCCTAACTACCGTAACAACCCCGCATTAGCTATCAATAATCCCTGTGAATGTGTGCCTGCATCCTTATATACACCTGCATGTATATCCTGTATATATTCAAATTACTATATTGCTGTATTTACCCAATGAATCCCCCTCGATGCTTATGTATATATGTATATAGTTATTAATCTGTATATTTTATTTTTCCCCTGTAGATAATTAATCCTTTGATGTTTTTTCCCTAATCTGATTCCTTTATTTAGTCTATGTAGTGATGTGTTTTGTTCTATGTATGTGTATTAATCCATTTACCCCTTTATTTAGCATTTTTTTGTATTTGTGGCATTTTATCGTCTCTTTCCTGTTTCTTTTTCCTATTTTCAACTTTATATCTTTTACTGCTCTTCTCATTTTTTGTTTTCTCAAATAATGATTAAATTTTCGCTTATGCTTTTTAAAATATTCATCTTTCAAGTTTTTTCCCGAAAATTTAATTACTTCCCTGCCAGTATGTTGATTACAGCTAAAGAAAAAAAAAACCTATGCAGAAATTCCCTAGTTTTATCATTTATCCATAACACTATTCATCTTATTATTTCCGCTGAGGTTACATAATATTTTCCTTTCTTATAAGATTTCTCACCTTTGTATGCTTTGTATGTTTTCCCCCACCATATTCATATTTTCCCCTCCCTCATATTGCTTTCTCCCCTTCCCATTCAGTGAATTTTTCCCTAACCTTATTATATTACTCCCCTAGAATGCTATATTGTTGCTCATTGTACCCTGCATTTCCCTTGTTTCCCCTGTAATAATGTTGTTATTTCCCTACTTTGCTACATGTTGTCTTTCCACACCTGGATACATTTCCCTACCTCCTTGTATTTCCCTCTCGTACCTTAATAATTTCCCCACCTGACTAGATTTCTCCATAACCCCTTATTTTCTGCTTTCACAACGCCTTAGTTTTCCCTGTCAATAGTATATTCCGTACATTCTTACTGCGTTTCTCTTTGTTATTATTAATGTTTATCTCATTATTTTGCATTTTTCGTCCTTCAGTCAGAATTATCTCCCCGCTCTTGCTGTATTTTACCAGCCATGATGTTTAGTTCACCCTAACAGTGTACACTTCTCCCCCACCACACAACCATTCTTCCCTGCTATCGAGTATCCGTTCCCCGTCGTATTGATTATCCAACCTCGATCCTTTCCACATCTTTTCACCCCTCGCCATTTTGCAAATCTCCCCACCACCACCATGCTTTATCTCCCCCACCATCCATTAAATACTTCTCCCCCCACCCCTCACTATATTGCGCTGCTGCCAACTTATATTTTTTTCCCTACATCTTAGTGTGCCAGACTATTTCTCCCCGGCACTCCACGTTTCTTCAGTCAAATTACGTCACACAGTTTTAGTTCATCACACAGCTTCATAGTTTCCATCACAGACTTTCTTGATGATGTTTCCAAGTGTTACATAAACCAAATTATTATATTTTTTGGTGAAACAAATGTTGATCCTAAGACAATATCACCTCTTCAAAACAATATAATAGTGTCTCCCCCCCACGTTATATTTCTCAGTGACAAAACAGTTCTTCTCATCTGATATAACGTGTCTATCACTGACTACAACTTACCATCTAGTACATGATTAATTTATCTCATCGAAGATCTACCAATGTTTCAAAAAATCGTTTTCTTATCGATACACAACTAAATTATCCCCACAATACTTTTCACTGACCAAAACTCCATAATTTACCCTAATATGTTAATCAATTTATCCTGTAATCGTTTCTACCCCAGTACTATTTATTTTCATTTCCCTATAGATCAATATGTTGCAGCCATATCTTTCCCTGTCTGATTTTAAATTGATTATTATTTATGTCTAACTCTTTATTTATCAATACCTGTTATTCACCTTTTCTGTCACTATTTAATTCTTTTTTTTTATGGAATTATTGCATATCCTAAACCATGGCCTAAGATTACTTTATCTATGAAATCTATTTTCTCTATCTGATTTTCTTTTCCAGGGTAGACTATTTTATTTTCTGGTGAGATGTATTGATAGGAGTGTTTATTTTGTTTTTCTTTATTACTGTGCCTGTATTTACTCTCTTCTCTCTTATGTTTAATTTATCTTCCTTCTTATATTATTATTTGCCTTTTCTTATTCTCTAAATTCATTCTCATTTCTCCCTTAGTCTTTATTTCTCTCTTTTGTTTCTCTTTCTCTCCCCCTCTCTTATACCTACACGTCTCTTTCTCAGTTCACATTGCATATAAACTTTGACCTTTCTCTCCATCTCTCTTCCCCTCCCTTCAGTTATATCTCTCCATCACCCCCTATTTCCACTCCCTTGGTCTTTAAATCCTCTCTTCTTATCCTTAATTCCATCACACCAGACTTCCCTTTTCCCTTCCTACTTATCCATCGACCCTTCCATCTCTCTCTCCCCCCTCCCTCCCTATTGGCCTCTCTCTCTCCCCTCCTACTTCCATCCCTCCTTCATTACCTTCCTTTTATCCTCTCCCTCTCTCCATCCCTTTTGTCCTCCCCACCTTCGTTCCCTACCTTACTCCCTTCCTTCTTCCCTCTTTCCCTTCCGGAGTTCTCAAATACCCCCTTGCAAAATCTTTTCCATCTCATTGAAATTTCCATAAGGCTCCATCACGTTCTCCCAACAAAACCCGTCAGGAGCTATTTCTTTTTTAACCTATTCTTTCCATCAACCTCCATCACATTACTCCAGTCCCCCTCTCTCACTATTCCATCGCCCTAAACCTTTTCTGCTACCAGTTCCATCACTTACTACGTAAAACGTCTCTTTTCCATCACTCTGCTCCCTCTCTCCCTCTCTCTTCCCTCACTATCAACATTCCATTACTCCTTACCAATATTCCATCACTATTCCATCAACCTCTGACATCTCCCCTCAGCATTCCATCCTCAAACCTTTCCTCTTCTACCCTGCGGCCCTTTCCCTTAAACTACTACATACCATCACCTCCACCCTTCCATCATTCCAGTCTCTCTGTTGCACTGTTCCATTTACCCCTTCCCCTTTCTCCTTTCTTGTCTCATCCCTTCCATATACCATATAATCTTCACGGCTCTCTCTCTCTCTCTCTCTCTCTCTCTCTCTCTCTCTCCATAAACATTTTCACCACCACCATCCTACAACTATTTATATATCTTCCCCCACCACCACCACCACTATTGTATATATACATACAGTACATATATACAAATCTTCTCCTACAACTACCACTATTCCATACACATATACACATACATCTTCCTCTACCACCTGTACACTAGACAAATCCCCCCCACACTACCACAAGGCTATTTCTCCCCTACTCTATTATATTTTCCCCTGCTGCCAATCTGCCATTCCACACTATTAAGGTTTTAACGTTTGGGTGCTTGCAGATGCGAACACTGGGAGTTTCTGGCTGTACGGGGGAAAGGGAAACCCGCTGTTAGGTATGAGAATATGTTAAATTTTATATGTACTTGAGTTTACACCACCATTTGTCACACGTTACTAAAAAAAAATGGCACTTATACATATGTGTGTTTTTTTTATAATTTACTTAAAAAAAAAAAAAAAGAGGAATTTATATTTATATATCCATTTTCTGGGACTGTGGTTATTAATCTTTTATTTTTTAGCACATGCACATATTTATCAACACATTATTATTATTATTATAATTTGTATTTGAGGTATTGTTAGTTATATGCATTTATGTTATTGTTTGGAATCACCTGATGATTAGTCTCCCTAGTTTATTTCACCTTAGTATTAGCCACCCTAAAGGTAACCTCACCCAGCATATCCTAGCCTGTCCTAATATAAGGTAATGTAATGAAACCTAACCTATCCAAACGTAATCTAATTTAACTGAACCTAACCTAACCTAAAGAAATGTAATGTAATGTAACATAACCTAATCTAACCTAACTTAATCTAACCTTTACTTAACCCCCCAGGTAACGTTAGGGTGAGTGTTCAATCATCAGGTGAAATAAGCTGGATGGTTAATCTTTAGGTGATCCATTGTTTGTTTGCTTATACTGTATATATATATATATATATATATATATATATATATATATATATATATATATATATATATATATATATATATATATATATATATATATATATATATATATATATTTATGAAAAAAGACAAAAAAACTAGCAGAAAAGTTTGCGTTAGTTATAAGTGAAAGGTTTTTTTTACCATTCGCCCAGGGTACATCAATATTTCAGGCACGCTCGCGATGGCAAATGTCGAGTCTGTATTCACAAACATCACTCAAGACGGTCGACCAGCTCTCTCTCTCTCTCTCTCTCTCTCTCTCTCTCTCTCTCTGGAATTACTCCTTTCCTCCCCTTTGTTCTAGGTCCCATTCCCTCCCCCTTCCCTCCCCTTTCCCTTAGCTACCCTTCTCTCATCCCCTATCCATTTACCCTCCTAGCCCCATTCTCAGTTAACTTAGTCTCCCCTTTTCCCCATTTTCCCTCCCCATAAACCCTTATTCCCCTTAACCCTTCCCCCCCTCCAGGTCTCCACCTCCTTCTCCCTCCCAAAACCCCTCCTCTATATCCTCAAAATGCCTCCGTGATCCCAGTAAAGGTGTCTCTTCTTTCTGGAGGTCCTACTCAATGCAGTTAGTCAAGTTTGAGGTTTTCCGAGCCTTTGGATATATCAGTCGAGGGTCTTTCAACTATCTCTTATTTCTTTTCCTGTTTTTTTCTAGGGTATTTTATTTTCGTGATACGGAATAAGAAACATGTATAATATTATATCCTGGGAAAAAACAAGTGTTGTGTATTGTGAACCTGGAGTTGCAATGATGTTTAATACAATTTTCCTTAATATGATTATTATTCATTAACATTTACTAAATTATATGCCAGATTTAACTAATCCTTTTATTCAATTACAGCTTTCATGTCTTCGAAATTTACAAAGATATAATTCATATTAATCCAAGTCTCTTTTTACACCACAGTATCTAATATACCTATAATTTCTTTAACAAAATTTCTTACAGATTATATACATGTTTCATAAATGTACATAATTATCATAAATATTTACATTCTAGATTCGTGTAAACCTTATGAGTTATATTACTGACCAGTGTTGTTGTGTTTCAATAAGTCTCGACATTTGGAATCCTAAAATCTCTCCAAGTTTCCTTAATTACAGCATTTATTAGATTAAATTTTTCCCCCCCTCATAATTATTCGTAATAACTCGTAATATCAGAGTATATATTTACATTTATTATCTAGACACTTTTATCTTAACTCGTTAATTATTCTGTCATATTTTCTTTATTTTTTTTTTCGAAGCGACATTCTGGTATATTTTTGTTCATGTAGTGTTGTGTGATTCGCCTCGTGTATGGACCAACATCGTCTAGTGTGTGTGTGTGTGTGTGTGTGTGTGTGTGTGTGTGTGTGTGTGTGATAATAATAATAATGAAATTGGGTGTTGCCATTTGTCATATTGTCTCATATTCTTGAATTTGTCTACGTTACCTATTTCGTTCCTATTATTCTAGGTGAGAAAGGAAATAGGCGTTTATTACCTCTAAAATGGTTGCCTATTTAGTCTCAGGTTTCATAGAATATAAATTATTTTTTCTGTAATTGGATTAATTATTGTATGACTCTTATGTTTTATATATCGGTGGATAATCACTAATTGGATACCCATTTCATCTCCATTTTCGTTGTGACAAGACCCATTATTCAACAAAATTTTGATGTATGAAAAAATGGGTGTCTATTTGTACATAACCTCTTGATGCAATTCCTATTAAAACTTATATCGTGGGAGAGGATAATTTAATTGGATGACAGTTTTGTATCTAATTTCATGGTTAAAAATGACTATTATTATTATACGTGTACCTATTTTTGTGACGAATTTCGTGGTTAGATAAACTATTAAATGGGTGTTTCTTTTCTTTTCAGTTTCGTGGGGTAGGTACTATGATCGTGAGCCTATTTCGTCTCCTATTTCCTGATTACACGAACAGTTAATAGTCATAATATATTTTATTCTGTCTTCTCTATTGTTGAATGTTTATGGAATTGATTGTTTTGTTATCTTAGATTACTTAATACAATGTTTATTATAGTAATGATATGATATATTAATAGTGATAAAATATGAATGTTAGTAATAATAATAATAATAATAATAATAATAATAATAATAATAATAATAAAAATGACGATAGAATTTACCCGGTACATTAGGATAAATAACAATATAAAAATTGAATAGCTCAATAAATTAGAGTTATATAAGTAAAAGCATAAATTTAACTGTCACGTTACACAATAAACACACACACACACACATACACACACACACACACAAACACACACACACATACACACATACACACACACACATACACACACACACACACACACACGCACAGCCATCTGCTCTAACAACATGAACCTGAAATAAGATCACATGGACTCACCTCTATTTCCCGGTCATAAAAAGCGAGCATGAATAGGCGTGACAACACCCCCCATTAATGTTCACTTCCTGTCACTCCACCCCCATGTTAAATAGTCTCCCCATGAAGTACTTCCTTTATTTAATACTGACCATGATAATATTAAACTTCCCTCTCCCCCATGTGACTCTCTCTCTCCCCATGTGACTCTCCCCCATGTGACTCATTCTCTCCACATGTGACTCTCCCCCATGTGATTCCTTCTCTCCCCATGTGACTCCTTCTCTCCACATGTGACTCTCCCCTATGTGACTCATTCTCTCCCCATGTGACTCATTTTCTCCACATGTGACTCTCCCCCATGTGACTCATGATTCAAGATAGTTTCTCTCCCATTTACCTTATGAGTCAATTATGGCCTATGAGTACAAGTGTTTCGTTGCTGTGTGTGGTATGATAAGTAACTTTCTATGTAAGTCCCTTAGTTTTCCTCCCTTTCTCCTACCTTTCCTTTCCCCTTTCTTCCCTTTCTCACTATTTCTCTCTCTCTCTCCCTACTTCCCTCTCTCTTTTTCTCTTTCCCCCTTTCCCCCTTTCCATTTCTCTCCCCTCTCTCTTCTATCCTCCCTCCCTCGTGTGGCGCCAGTAAGGGCCTCAGTGTTGGCGCTTGGTGTCCTCTCACGCACACACGCGAGCCGCTCGTTTCTACGCACATGCCTGCGTTCATACGAATACCTACACATACATGGATTAACGCGTGCACGCTGGGGATAGCGCGTTGCAAAAACACACGCGCGCCCACATGCACATATACGGTTACACTCTCCTACACACACATACGCACACACCCATCCTGCAACACACACACACACACACACACACACCTCTCTCTTTCTCCCTCCCTTCTCCAAATAAACACACAAGGACCACACAGACGAAAAACAAGTCCCGGCTACTGTCACCAGCAACACACTCACACAAACACAAACACGATTAGATCAGAGGCTTGACATCGACACTGACAACAAAGAAGAACAACAAAAACAACACTGAATGGCAACATCTCACCTCATTTGCATATCTTATCTCGACAAATTTATCCAAGAATTGAAAACATTCAACTTGGGGAGTAACTGGCAACACCAACACCACCACCTCCTCGTCCTTCTTATCATCCTTCTTTGTCCTCCTTATCCTTCATCTCTTCTTCTTCGTTCTCCTCCTCATCCTTTTTCTCTTCTTCGTCGTCCTCCTCCTCATCATTCTGCTCTTCCTCATCGCCCTCCTCGTCACTCTAAGACAATGTTCGGGAATTTAGGGACGTGGGGGTGAGTGTTTGCCTGTGTTTATGTAACATCATTTTTGGCATCGTCGTCTCCCTCTCTCTCTCTCTCTCTCTCTCTCTCTCTCTCTCTCTCACACACACACACACACACACACACACACACACACACACACACACACACACACACACACACACACACACACAAACAAAATTTCCACCACTGGCAACGTGTTGGGGTGTTGGGTTTTCTCGTTATTAGCCAATAAAAGGGGAAAGGGAAATGGGAAAGGAAGGGGAAGAAGGGAGGAAGGGGAGAGGAAGGAGTAGATGATCGCATGGACAACGTTAAGAAAGAGAGATACAAAGAGAAAGAGACAGGGGGGGTAATGGTCAAATGGAGAAAGAAAATCAAGCGAGCAATTTAAATTTTCATGTCACGTTGACCAGAAGTTGAAGAAAAAATCGAAATTATAAATTAATATTTAATGAAGACGTAATTGAAGATAAAGAACATTAGGAAGGCAGTAAGCGTGATAACTACATATACGAGGAAAGAAGATAAGATAAAGGAAGTAATACAATAAAAACTAAAAAAAATAAAATTAAGAGGGAGTAAGAGTGGAAAATGAAGAAGAAGAAGAAGAAGAAAGTTCAATTGTTGAAGTGGATATAAGAGATGAGAAGAAGGGGTGGAGGG